TCCTTGGTGAAGTGTCTATTCATGTCTTCTGCCCATTTTTTAATTGGATTGTTTGTCTTTTTGTTATTGAGTTGTTTAAGTTTTCTATAAATTCTAGAGATAAGTCCCTTGTCAGCTATGTTATTACCGAATAGTTTTTCCCAATCCGTAGGATCTCTTGACTCTTTTGGAGAAGTCTTTGGAAGCACATAAAAATTTAATTTTTAGAAGGTCCCAATCATCTGGCTTCTCTTCTGCTGTTGGTGCATATTCCTATAGTGTTTTCAAGGGTGCAAAGACAACAACCACATGCCCCTTAGCCACAATAGTGGCTCAGAAGTACAGGTCCTGGCAGCCCCGCCCCTCCTGCAGGCCTGGCTCCACCCCTCGCCCTGGACCGGAAGGCTCAGCCCCTTCCTTTCGGGTGGGTAACGCCTACGGCACTAGACCAGCTGCCTTCTTAGTCCCAGGTCTGGCCCCGCCCAGGCCCCGCCTACAGTGTTCACTGTCTCTGCGGACGCCGTTTGCGCATGGCCTCGCCATTTTGTTCCTAGAAACGCCGCCTGGGCACCCAGCGCTTTTCTCCCTTGGGCCCGGGAGGCTACAGCGGGGCTGGGGCTGGGGTCAGGGCCAGGTAGGCGACCGGGATGCAGGGTTCCGGCAGCGGCGGGCGGGCCTGGGTGCCGGCCACGGCAGCGGGAGGGGGGCGTCTCGCACCGAGGCTGCGGCCGGGAGCCCTCTGCCTTTTCCTCCCTCCCTCTTCCTTCTTGGGCGGGCGGGGAAAATGGACCTGGACCTGCGGGTCCCCGGGGGCCGTCCCTCCAGACGCGCCGTTGCGGGGTCGAGCCTCAGTTAATCTGCATTTGAGCAGTTCAGAAGACAAGTCCCAGAACCAGCCATCTCGATCCAGGGTCTGACAGTGCCCCTTGTCAACTTGGCTGGACTGGTTGGTAGTGACCAGTTACCCAAAAAGGGTGTTTTTTGTTTCTGTTACCCAAAAAGGGTGTTTTCACCTTTGCAAAGGTTGAGGGAGAACCATAGTGTCATTTTAGTTCGTATTCCGCGTTAAAATGTTTTGCCCGATTATTAGTACAGGAATCATAACGATTTTTTTTTAAATGCTAAAATGGGTCCAGTTTGTGTTTAGTCTTTGTGAGCGGTATGGAAATGCGAAATAGGCATTCCGGGCACGAGGAAGTGTGAGCTCTACCATTTAACAAATTTAAATGCACAAACAGCAATAATTCACCTACATTATTGAGCTCCACTGAATCATAACCTTTGGTTTGGATTTCTTTCCTGGACTGGTCTGTACCATTACTACTGAGTTGTGATGAGAAGAGATGCAGTTCAGCATTTTGGAATAGTCTGAAGAAACACTATTTTTACTTACATTGAATCTGCATTCTGAATTTTACTTAATTACCCCAGTAGGGAGTCTTTACATGTGTCCAGTATTCCTTATTTTAACATACCTTATAGAGAGCATCACTGGACAGCTTTTTTCCTTGGGATAAATTTCCAGAAGTGGAAATACTGAATTGAATTTAAGCATCTCTTATGATACATGATATAAATTACCTTCCAACCATGACACGTTTACAATGGACTTGTTCATAAGTCATGTGAGTTCCATGCTTACTTTGGGATTCAGCCCTGGTCTCAAGTCATTTTTATACTGTGTTGAGACAGGTTACATTTAAATGTAACCATTGTAAATCAGACTGTGGAGGAGATAAAAGTTTCTGCAACTTATGAGTCATGTGGCCCAGAGTATGTTTTTTTTATTTTATTTTTTAATCTCTAAGCCGCACTTCCTTCACCTGTGAAATGGATTTAATTCTGTTATTTCATTGGGTTGTTTTAAGACTTAACACTCAGCCCAGTGTCTGGTGTGTACTAAAACCCACCCAAACCCATTCCCATCAAGTCTATTCCAATTCATAGCTACCCTGTAGGACAGAGTAGACCTGCCCCGCATAGGGTTTCCAAGGCTGTAAATATATATATTTTTAATTTATTTTATTTTTAATTTTTATTGTGATTTGGGTGAAAATGTACAGAACAAATTCATTTTCCACATAACACTTAATACACAATTTGTTTCATGACATTGATTGCAATTCTTCACAGTGTAACAGCTCTCTTCCCTGTCCTGTGGCCTTCCCTCTCATGCACTTCTGTGTCTCCCCACCCCCCCACTCCCCACTCCCTCCTGCCCCAGTCTGCCCCCAGCTGACTCCCGGTGCAAACACTGCCCTTCTGTTCTTCCAGGATTTGTTGCTTCAAGGAGTGTGTCTTCCTCATGTGAATGTTCACCCCATTTGCCTGTCTATTGTTTGGCTAAAAGCCACAGGAGTGAGTTCAGTTCCAGACCTGAAGGGTAACTAGGGCCATGGTCTTAGGGGTCTCACCAGGCTCTGTCAGATAAGCAAGCCTGGTGTTTTTTTTTTTTTTTTTTTTTTTTTAAATGATTTTGAGTTTTGTTCCACATTGTTCTATCCAGTATCTCCTGTACTGATCCCCCTCCAAGTGGTTGACATTGGTAGCTGGGTGCCATCTAGTTCTTTTGGTCACATGGTCATATAGGCTGAGAATTGCATGGTCTACCAATCCTTTGGACTGATTATTTCTATGTGTCTTTGGTTTTCTACATTCTTCTCTGCTCCGGATGAGTAGAGACCCATCATTGTATCTAGATGGCTACTTGCAAGTGTTTAAGACCCCTGTAGCTACTCACCAAATTAGGGTTTAGAACAGTGTTTTTGTGTAGTATGTTATGCCATTTGAGCATGATGTCCCCAGTGACCATGGTCCTGAGCCCACAGGTCCAACTACTCACTCCCTCCGGGTAGCTGGCTGTGGCTGAGAAGCCACCACAACGTTGTCCCTTGTCAGCTCTACTGTACACCCAGACATACAAATATGCACATACACCACATACAAATACACATGTAGAAACATTGTCTGCTAACCCTATACATGGTCGTGGGTATAGTTCCCCCTGCCTAGACATACCTGATCATTCAGGGGCTGTAAATCTTCATGGAAGCAGACTGCCTCATCTTTCTCCTGTGGAGTACCTGGTGGGTTTGAACCACAAAGCTTTTGGTTGGCAGCTGACTGCTTTAATCACCGTATTACCAGAGCTCTGTGGTGTGTACTAAAATGCTCAGTAAATGTTAGTTACAAGGAAGTGTTCAAATGCTGAAAGGAGCCAGATTGTGGGATCACAGAGGAGTAGAAGATTGAGTTAGATTTTTTGCTCTTTAGACTCTCAATATTGACATAAAAAGGCAAATTTTCTTTGAGTGAGGTACATTGATGACAAAAATAATCCTTTATACTTTATGATGCCTTTCAGTTGTTTTATAAACTGCTTTACGTTTTTGGTTGTTAATCATTGGAGTCATTGAGGTCAGGCTTTATTCAACAAGCTTGTGCCAGTACTCTAGGCACTGGGGTACAGCCAAGAATGTAAAAGTAAAAACATCTCTGTTGCGCTGAGCCACTGTGTGTCCAGAAGGGACATGCTAAAGCCCAGAGAAGCCAAGTTACCAGCCCAGCCTTGTAAATCACCGAAGGCAAAACCAAGACTCTCACTACTCAGCATTGTTACATAGGAATTGCTCTGGAACAGTCAGTGGGTGCTTTAGAGGGAAAATAACAGACATGCTTTAATGCCAGCCCTTCCTCGTTTGAAATATGGGTAAATGGCTATGAAATACCTATCAGGCATTGATCTGTCTTGGTGTGGTTCCATTCATGATATTTAACAGATTAACAAATCTCATTCAAAGAGGAATATGATTTGCTTTTTATAAGATTTTTAGATTCTTTGAAAAGGCTATGTTTTCATGTGTGTTATAAATAATTGTTAACACATTTTAAATGTATAAGCAACTCTAGTTTGAGGGAATAAATGGAAGTGTTTTCTTGAGAATAATGTTTTCTTGAAGCATGGCATTGGTAAAAAGTGCAACCTGAATTTCTAATGGAAAACAGCTAAAACACCCCCAATGTTTGACTAGCGAGGGACTCAAATAGTCACCAAACAGGACTGTATTGGTAACCATTTCCTTAGTCTCTGCAGACGGATGGACTCTCTCTCCTCACCCTCCCTACTGTCATTTTAAGAGTGGTCTTAGGATGATGTTGTTACATGCTGTTGAGTCGCGCCTGACTCATAGGGACCCCTTGTTGGGTTTCTGAGGTAGTATCACGCGGAAAGTAGATTGCCCAACCTTCCTTCCAAGGAATGGCTGGTGGGTGTGAACTGCCAGTCTTCTGGTTAGCAGTCAAATGTCTTAGGCCCTATGCCTAAGATTCCATTATTTAACTATGACAGATAAGGAAGGCTCTGGGAAATATCCTGGAGAGGTGGTTACACAGGCAAGAGAGCTGTCCTGAGGTAGGGTGAAAGCTCTCCTGTGTAGGAGGAATTGTCTGTTTTCCCACAAACCTTCAAGGTAAGGGCAGGGACTAGTGGGTGGAGGCTTCAGGGAGAGCAATCTCAGCATGTTCTAAGGAAGAATTTGGAATGGATGGGCCTTCAGAGGATTATGGGCATTAGGCCCTGGGATTGGTTCCTTGGCATGAATGCTGGGAACCTAACCCAAACCTATTGCTGTCGAGTTGTTTCTGAATCATGGTGACCCTACAGAACAATAGAACTGCTCCAGAGGGTTTTTAATGCTTTATGTATTTACAGAAGCAGATTGTCATATCTTTCTCCTGTGAAGTGGCTAATAGGTTCAAATTGACCTTTCAGTTAGCTGCACACTTAAACCACTGTGCTACCAGGCCTCTGGGATGCTGGAGATAGGCTTCAAATGTCAGAATAAGGGGAGCAGGACAGAACTTCCTCTAAGATCTTTTCCTGCCCATACCCTTAGGTGGGAGCTCTGATGGCATAATGCCTAAGGCATTTGACTGCTAATCAGAAGGTTGGCGGTTCAAACCCACTAGCCACTCCTCGGAAGAAAGTGGGGCAGTTTACTTCCATAGTGATACCGCCTCAGAAACCCAAGGAGGGGTCATTATGAATTGGGAACGACTCAATGGCAGTGACCCCTAAGGTACTAGCAGGAACTCTGGTGCATCTGTGAAGATTTACAGCCTTGGAGTCGGCTCTATGGCAGTGGGTTTTTTGGAAAGATATTAGTGTTTGACTCATGTAGTTTCCATTTTTTAGTTGTGTGCTATATGCTGGGCACTGTGGTAAGTGTTTTACAGAAATTTTTAATTTTATAGTAACCCTGTGTAGTCAGTCTTCACAGTTAGATGGATGAGGGGAGGGAGGCTAAGAAAGGTTAAGTAACTTTGGCAAGTACTTAAAGTAAGCTATCATAAAATGGGAGCTAAGATGCAAGCATAAGTCTGACTCCAAAGTCTGTATTTATGATGAGAGTAAATTCAGTTTTTATTTCCTTTCCCAGACTAGCAGCCTCTGTTATTAGACACAGACATACATTGATCGAGAGAGATCTAAAATCCTTTCCAGCTCTAAGTATTGATGGTTTTATGTTATTTCTTTATTTTATATTGACCACTCTGCCTTGTTCTCACTTGCCTTGGCAGATATACCACACTGTACCCTAAAGCACTGTTCGGCAAGCTTTTTCAGGAAAGGCCAGAAAATAAGTAATGTAGGCTTTCTGGGCCAACAAATGGGAACTCTGGTGGCACAGTGCATAAGGCATTTGACTGCTAACCAGTTGGCAGTTCAAACCTACCAGTCCCTCTGTGGAAGGAAGATGGGACGATCTACTTCCATAAAGATTTACAGCCTCGGAAACCCAGTGGGGGTCACTATGAGTTGGATGGCAGTGAGTTTGTTTTTTAGGCCAACAAATGAGTGTGGCTGTGCTCCAGTAAAATTTAATTTACAAAAATGGGACCTGTTTGGCCTGCAGGCTGGAATTTTCCAATCCCTGCTGTAAAGGCACACTCTGTGGTGGACACCAGTGGTCTCCCTTGGTCTCATGGGGCTTTGGTCACTTGAACCTATGTTTCTGTTTGTGATTTGTAGGCACAAGGTGATTTCTTTTGTAGTCACCATGTTATCTGTTGTGGAACCTTGGATCATCAGAAATGCCCCTTACGAGACCATCTGTGGGGAAACATACTCTACATTAAAAAGAACAAAATAGGTCTATATTTTCTAACATAGATTGTCAAAATACATTGTTTAGTGGAGAGGCAAATGATAGATTTATATGATGTTACCTTTTTATGTTAGAAATGTACCTTTTTTATATGTATTTTCTTTGGGGGCATATGTATGTGAATTTGTAGAAAAGGTGTGACAAGGTCCACACCAAATTAATAAGAACCATCATTTACTGGAAGGTGGGGAGGTACCTGTGTTTAGGGGTGGTAACTTTAGCCTTAACTGTAATGTTTTGAATTTTTACAGGGGGAATGTGTTAGTTACTGATGTAACTAAAACAGGAAAGATTGGCTAGGCTTTAGCCCTTTTATGATCTCTACCAGTTTTCCCGAAGGTCTGACTCCACGGCACATAACAACAACAACAGCAACAACAACCAGTTTTCTCAAAGCCATTGCAGGCAAACCCAAGAGTGAGGGAACACAGTGTACTTGCTGCAGAGGTGCTCCAACCCCACCACCTACTAGATGGCTGCCACTGCGTCTAGTCCAGCTCCCTTACTGTGTGATAAGGGCACTAAGCCCAGAGAGCGGCTTCTTTAGTCAACCTTGTGTTCCAGTTGAGGAATGAAGATGATAAGGTCAGTTTTAGACATGACCCAGGTATTTGAGGTAGCCAACTGACCTGGTTTTATGGTAAACAGATATTATAGGTAAAGCTGAGCATAGCTGGGTCATTTATTCTTTGTTTAACGATCAATCAGTCCATGTCTTGCTAATGGCTCTACCATTTTTCTGTGTGTTAATCCAGGAGGAATTTGTCAGAGAATAAAAAGAGGTTGTCCGTAATTGACTTTCAGCAGCAAACAGTAAAATATTAAGTCTAGCCTGTCAGCTTCTCTGAGCTCTTCAGCTCCACCTTTCTTGTAAGTGTATCATTTATTCCCAAGTGGTCATGAAAACTTTTTAAGTCATGGAATAACATTTCCATAAACTTAGAACCCTAAAATGCAAGTGAACATTATATGTGTAATATAAAAGATACCATTATTGTGAGAACTATTTTTCTTCAGCTCAAGTCATTTGCTAAAAAATAATAAAAATAATTCCGTAATCTTCTGAGTTATATGCAGTTCTTAATATGTTTTAATCCTTCTAGGCTTTGAGAATTGGAAAATCAAAAAGGTTTTGATGTTTTGTGTGGCACCATCTGAATTAGAAACCAAGATGAACATAACCAAAGGAGGTCTGGTATTGTTTTCAGCAAATTCGAATTCATCATGTATGGAGCTTTCGAAGAAGATTGCTGAGTGAGTTATGATCTTACCATTAAAATGAATATCCTTTATGTGATGTTTTAAATTTGATAATTGGATTACCACTGATGGTTAAACCTGAAAGCAGATATCTCATAATTAACTTGTGATTCAACTGTGTATATTGAAGACTAACTTTTTGTTATATATAACTACTCTCTAAATATTTACTTGGCAGACATTTATGGAGTGCCTCTGTGTGCCCAGGGATTATGTTAAGTGCTGCGTTTGCATAGCATTATTAGAGTAAAAAGAATAGTGAAAGTATACTAGATGAAAACCTTTAATAGCTTGTCATTTGGTATAATTTTAGATATTCATTAGATATTTATTGAACCCCTACTGGGTACTAGGCCTTGAGCTAGATGTTGGGGATTGGTAGTGAGTAAGCCAGTCAAGATCCTTCCTCCTCATGAAATTTATATTTTAGTAGAGGAGCCAGACAAGAAGCAGGTAAACAAGATAATTTCAATGTTGAGAAATGCTGTGAAGAAAATTGTATCAAAGTAATGACGGGGCAAGTTGTTTTGCTTTAGCCTTTGAAACTATGGGGGTATACTTGGATTTTGAAACTGGATTGAGCCACGAGTGAAGATCTGGGAACCCTCAGGAAGAGTGAAAAGCAGATTCAAAGGCCCTGTGGTGTGGGGGAATTGGTTTGTTTCAGGAACAGAAAATAGGTTGAGTGAACACAGGGAAGATGGTCGTAGAGTTAGACCATGTAGGGCTTTGTTGGGTAGACCTGGGGTGGGGGTGAATGGGTGAAGTAGTGGAGTGACAGACATTTAATATTGACATTTTATCTTACTGTAAGAATTCCTTGATTTTTTAAATCCATATATGAATCATCCTTTAATAGTAAAGATATTAAGTGTATTCTGTTACCTTTTCAGCTTTTCCCCCCTTTTTCTTCTCTAGGCGGCTGGGGGTGGAGATGGGCAAAGTGCAGGTTTACCAGGAACCTAACAGAGGTGAGCTATCTTGGACATCTGTAACGTGGGGTTTTTGGTGGCATATGGCATACTGGCTCTGTCCTTTGTCCTCCATTATTGAAACAGGGTCTATGTGTACCGCTCAGGTATGATTCAACTCAGTTGTCTGCTTAGTTCTGTTAGCAGGAAGTCAGGCAAGATAGAGAAAATGGTGTTTTTAACTCCCATTAATACCCTGGTGGCACAGTGATTAAGTGCTTGGCTGCTAACTGAAAGGTCAGCAGTTCAAACCCACCAGCTGCTGTGCGAGACAAAGATGTTGCAGTCGGCTTCTGTAAAGATTACAGCCTTAGAAACCCTGTGAGGTGGTTCCTAGGAGTAGGAATTGCCTTGATGGCAGTTCATTAATACCAACTAGTTATATAATCCTTGGATAAGTCACATCTCGAGGCTTGGGCTCTAGGTCTTATACCTCATCCAAACAAAAACTGCATAAATATATGAATCAGCCAGTCAAGGGAGTGGAAACATTAGATGAGTTGTTAGTTGAATCTGTGTCATCTTAGATAGAATGAATGAATCCTGTATGGACACAGTTTTAATGGATTGTTATTCTTTACCACCACCTGAGCTGTATGGGTTTGACTCATGAAATCTTGTTAGGAAAATACTTTTTGCAAATTGATTTATGTCATTACGTAATTCCAAATTTTAAGAAAGGTGTCCTTTTGTAATTTCCATAAAAATGGTAGGTATTTGAAATTACTCTAGCAGTAGTGATGACTAGCCTGTATGGGCTTGAGAGTCATACAACCTTATCCTTGCCAAGTTACTTAACTTTTCTAATAATTTGGGCTTTTTTGCTGATTAATTGGAATAATTTGTGCCTAACGCAGTTCTTGGCACATGGTAGATGCTCAATACATAACTAGTTCCCTGTCTTTTTCTACTGTAGGACTTTATCAAATATTTAAATATTATGAATTTACAGGAGGCTCTGATAAAAAGGTGCAGCTTTGCTCTTCCTCTATTTATTTCTCTATTATTGACTTCTCTTCCTTCTCTCTCAAGATTCCCCATGTGGCTCTAGAAGGAAAAAGTGTAATATGTGAAGAGAATATGCAGGGTTTGGAGAAGATTCTGCCTCTAAAGGGAATTGGATGAGGCCTTTGTCTGGAGTCTGGAAAGGGGGAAAAGAGAGAACTAGCAATGTAAGACTCTGAAGGAGCTTGGTCTGCTGTCCAGGTGTATGAGTGAGGGAGAGACAATACTTGGTATCCTTTGGGAAGGAAGGAGGGAACTAACTTTTGTTGATTTGTTACTGTTACCAGCTTCTGAAAAAATGAGTTCAGGGATGATGTTAGGTAAGAAGGTCCCAGAGATAGCAGAGTCAACGTTGGAATACAGATCTCTCTGACTCTAAAGCTCATTTACTTCTAGCACAGCACATTTCTTTCTAAATGTGCATTAGATTTTTTCAAACGTTATTTATGAAAACATTCAAACATATAAGAAAATTGAAAGAATAGTAACAGTGAAACCATATGTATACTTACCACTTAGATTTAACGTTAAGGCACATAAACCCTGAATATTTAAACATGCATTTCCTAAAATTAAGGACTTTCTTCTACATAAACACCATTATCACATTAAAAAAATTAATTATAATTCTATCATCTAATATCCATTCTATATTCATACATCCCTAGTTGTTGTAAAGAGTCTTTTACAGCTTTTTTTTTCTCCTCCCCTCAAGCCAGGATTCATTGTTCAACTGATATGTTTGTTAGGTCTCTTTAGTCTTTCCTAATTTAGAACATTCCCCTCACCTTTTCTTTTATCTTTCCATAACATTGACTTTTTGAAAATACTGTCTTGTAGAATGTTCTGTTCTGGATTTGTCTAATTATTTCCTTCTGGCTTACAAATGTTTTGAAACTAGGGATAATGGATCTTACTTACCTTTGCTCTCATAACATAACATTTGTGCCTAGGTTCTCAATAGATGCTGGATTATTGAATAAATATGTAATGTCCTATAAAGATGTAGTACAAAGAATGGTATATATTACAACACTCACTGCTTATATATAAGCAGTGAAATGGATAGATTTACTTGTATGTCAGAAATACAATTTCCTCTTAAGGATGGAATGTAGCAAATACCTTTCAAAGACATTAGACTGCTAACCAGAAGGTTGGTGGTTCAAACCCACCACCCACTCCTTGGAAGGAAGATTGGGCAATCTACTTCTTTAGTAGTACAGCCTTGGAAACTCAAGCAGGGGTTGCTATGAGTCGGATCTGACTCAATAGCAGAGTTTTTTTTTTTTTTAATAGAGTCTTGTGACTTGCATAACAATTCCAGTTTCCATATTTTATAATCTTGAGGAATAATAAAGGTGTTTTGTATGTTTAAAAAAATGTAAATTATATGCCTTCCCCATCCTGCCCCCCCCCCCTTTTTTTTTCCTGCCAGAAACCAGAGTACAGATTCAGGAATCTGTGAGGGGAAAAGACGTTTTCATCATCCAAACTGTTTCAAAGTGAGTACCTCCCAGCAGCACTGCTGCTCTTTTCAGATCTCTGTTGGGCACAGGTATTTAGAATAGTAGAAGTTTGCTAGCAGGAAGAATTAGGGGAGTTTTAAAATTAGTATATCTTTCTCTGCTAATTTCTGTGACATAACTGCAACTTTTCTGTGTTCTTTTCGTGTTCTTGGTGAGTGTATATAACCAAGTGTTGGAATATAGGCTCTTGATTATAATAGAACCCATTAAAAGTTTCCTAATAGCTGAAAGTTTGTAAAACTTGCAGGGAAACTCTTAAAAAAGAAAGAAAAGAAAAAAAATGGTTTGCTTACTTGAGGTTCTGAAAGCTCTTATTGCAGATAATTTAAAAATGACCACTGCTCATTGTTTTGTTGTATAAATTAAATGAACTGAGAGAAGATAGTAAAAGAATGTACTGAAGGAATGTATGTTCCTATCTGGTGTGACATTTTGCCATACGTGTGTTCTGGAAATGGTTTAGGTCATAAGTGTGCAATCTGGCTATAGAAAATAATGTGCAATGAGGTAGTCTATGCCACTCTTAGTCACTCTTAGATCAGGCGCCACTCTGAAAAGAAGACCACTTGCGAAGATCACCTGGAACCCATTCTCCCCAGCCCCCCCAAATGTGTAGGTTCTTTCTCTCTTTCTTTCTTTTTTTTAAATTTTATTGTGATTTGAGTGAAAGTTTACAGAGCAAATTCATTCTCCATACAGCAGTTCACATATACCTTTGTCTCATGACATTGATTGTAATCTCCCACACTGCAACAGTTCTCCTCCCACTTCCTCCCCATAGCCACCTTTTCCCTGTGTCCTTCCCTTCTATGCACTGCTGCCCCCTGGACTGTCTCTCTGTGCATACACAACCCTTCTATTCTCCCATGATTGATCTCTCCAAGGAGTGTATCTACCTAATGTAAATGTTCAGCTCATGTACCTGTCTTTTGTTTGGCTGGAAGCCACAGGAATGGGTTCAGTTCTAGACCTGAAGGACAGCGAGGGGCTATAGTCTCAGGGGTTTCACTAGGCTCTATCAGACTAGCAACTTGGCCCCAGGAGCCCATTCTTCCATGGTGCGTTTGTGCACAGATGCTCTCAGATGCCTTTGTATATGAGAGTTCTTCACTCAGAGTAATTTGCATAAGGCTTCTGGCTACTATGCAGAAGGTCAGTGGGTCACACCCACCAGCTGCTTCGCAGAAGGAAAATGGGGCGATCTGCTTCCATAAAAATTTACAGCTTTGGAAACCCAATGCAGGTTGCTATGAGTTGGAATCGACTTGGTGGCAGTGAGTTTGGTTTTTTAGTTTAGAAATTAGTTTATTTGTATAGCGCATAGTTTTTTAGCTTTAAGATTTTGAAAATTGCTGTATGCTGAATTTTTGCTTATATAAAGAAAGGGAGGAAGAGCCACATTTCAGGAGAATTTTGTCTAAATTTTAAATATATTTGTCCTTGTCTTTGACTTGGTGAGTGAAATCTCAAACCACTTGACCACACTGGGAAGAGAGGTACCCTAGAGCACTTGCCATGGCAGTCCCATCATCTTTGAGTGTGTGTTTGCTCTGAAAGAGGGAACATGTGACCTGGCTTTGCCATGGTATCTTTGCTTCATGTTCTGCTGTGACACAGGTTTTCTAGCCAGACCTGTGTAGGTGGGATCCCAGATTGCTTGCTGCCCCTGCCTGCCATTGTCATCTTTCCTAGGCCTACCACAGGGCCATAGTGCTAGCAGAGAAGTAACCTGTACCTCTGCCTTACTCTTTACCCCTCCAGCATCTTATATGGAAGGTGTGGGCCACAGAACAAGTTAAGGTCCTCTGCCTCCTGGGTTTCAGCAGAGACAAATGTGATTCCGTTTAGATAAATGCACAGAGGTTGCATGGTTTGCCCAAGGTGATAATTAGGCTCTAGACTTAGAATTCAAGACTTCAGAGGATATGTTTTAAAATCCTTTTCATTTTCAGCTTCTTTCATTTCTGTCCCTTTATTTTTATTTCAACACTCATGTCATTTTGCTTATACCTTTTGTTTTTGCCAGCTTCTCATTTCTCTGTCAAAACTACCTAGCATCCCTGTAGTTTCTTCTACTTTTCTGTCTCCTTTTGCATCAGTCATTACTGTGTTGTAGGCTTGTTTTAGCATAGGAGTTCTCAGACATGTCCTGGTAGCACAGAACCCAGAAGTCATGGTCTGTGTTAGACTGGGTTCTCTAGAGAAACAAAACCAATAAAGCTTACATAGAGAGAGAAAGAGAAATTTATCTTAGGAAAGTGGCCCACACACTTAATAGAAGCTGGCAGGTCCAAAGTTCTTGGATCAAACATCAAGCTGGAGGCTTTTCCCGACTCGTGCAGCTGCAGAGGCTAAGGAGCTCAAGGTTGGCAGGCAGTATACTGGCTGTTGACTCCAACGAATGACAAATCCAAGATCTCCAGGCTGAGTGGTGGATTGTTTCCTCACGGACAGTTATAGGCAGCACAACAGAATCCCGATCCACAGAAGAGTGTCTCTTTTCCCAGGATGTCCATAAATATACTGGAAACAGGCCATTACCCCTAGGGAAACTCCCTTTCAATGGATTGGCTGCTCAAAACATACACATCTGATCCCATCATTGGAACAACCCACATCACAGTTGCTTAAACCACACAGAATTATGGTCCAGCCAAGTTGACATGCAGCTCCAACTATCATAGTCCACCCCTTGTAAACGTGGCAGTTGTACACATCTTCTTAACCATATATAATCTCTAAACAAGAACAATTATAAAGTCATATTTGTGCCTAACCTGATACGCTAACACATGTGCAACCAAAACTCATGAAACTTATTTACATTTCACAGTTCATAACAGAAGGAAACAAAAATATTTGATGCACATGTACAATGAAGAAATACAGCAATCCAGTCCTCGTTTCTGCAACTGGTCACATGGTCGTAGCTGACATTCAGAACTACCTTCTTCCACCACCCATTCTGTATATCCCTTGCCCTCAGCAAGCACCTCAGCTGGTTGTGGTTTTTGCCCGATGGAGTGACCCAAACCTTCATTCCTGAAGGATCTGGGTCTTTAGCAGTCATACCAGAATTGGGTTGCTGTGATTATCCATTGACTTGAATCACAGGGCATGGTAGTACTAAGAGACGCCCTAAAGAATCTCCTCTATTCCAGACATATTCTCTTTACCTACATTATGTAATGTCAATCCAGTTTCCCCTTGGTAATCAGGATCTGTCACACTAGATAGTACAGTAATGTTCTTTGTCTGTTGATCCAGAGGCATGAGGAAGCCAAAGTGGCCGGGTGGCATTCTTAATTTCCAGTTCAAATACAGTCAGTATTGTCTCTCCAGGTGGGAGTGTTCCCCGCTTTGGGACTAAGATCTCCAGACCTGCATAGCATGGGGTAGCAGGGACAGGAAGCAAAAACTTTTTGAGTGGGTCACTAGGGGTAATAGTGAGTGGTACCACTCCCATTTTCACCCCTTGGTTCCTGGACCCATGTATCCTGGCTATTGGAAAAACAGAACCGAAAAGCTTATATAGAGAGAGAAAGAGAAATTTATCTTAGGAAAATGGCCCACACACTTATAGAAGCTGGCAAATCCAAAGTTCTTGGATCAAACGTCAAGCTGGAGGCTTTTCCTGACTCAGCAACTGTAGGGGCTGAGGAGCTCAAGGTTGGCAGGCAGTATACTGGCTGTTAACTCTAACAAATGACGAATCCAAGATCTTCAGGCCGAACGATAGATTGTTTACTCATGGACAGTTGTAGGCAGCACAACAGAATCCCGATCCACAGAAGAGTGTCTCTTTTCCCAGGATGTCCACAGGTACACTGGAAGCAGGCCACACCCCTAGGGAAACTCCCTTGCAACAGATTAGCTAGCTGCTCAAAACATACATGTCTGATCCCATCATTGGAACAACCCGCATCACAATTGCTTAAACCACACAGAATTGTGGTCCATCCAAGTTGACACACAGCTCCAATTATCACATGGTCTTTGTTAGGAAATACCACAAATCAGCACTGAGATTTGGTGTTGTCAGATACATCTTTGGAATGTAGTGGTGTCAGAACTCATCTAGATTAATGAGGGGTAAGAATCAGGATCATCATGAGGCTGGTTCCTGTGAGATGAGGTCAGCTATACCTCTGCTGTCCAACTTATCCCATTTCTGACACCAGCTGTTCCCCCATGGCACTTCTTTTCTGGGTTGAGAGTTTGTTGCAGTGGCCACTCAGAGCTCACAGACTGTACTTACAGTCATGTGGTTCATCAGGAAAGTAACAGCCTACAAGTTGGGAACACCTCAGGATCAGGAAGCACATATGCAAGGTTTGGAAGGCACTCCTGAGCTCTCCCTTCTTCTGAGCAGGACATTTACCGACTAGGATAGCTTGCTCATTTATTGTTGGCTGTGCTATCAGGCTTCTTGGCCATGCAAGGAAGCAGTTCCTTGTAGGCCATGCATATCCCCTCTCGGTTGTGCAGGCTACTCTTCCTTTGGCCTCCCTGTTGCTGGCTTCTCTGCTCCTAACTGGCTCAATACACGGCCAGCTGCTTTCCTAGCAACAGCTTTCTACCATGACTGCTGGCTTTGCCACCAGCCCTTGTTCCAGGTCTTTTGCCACTGGCTCTCTGCTGCCAGGTCCCCTTCTGGGTTTCTGGCTACCGCTGGCTCTGTGCCACAGGGAGAAAAGGGCCCCTTCAATCTCCTTGCTGTCTTCACTGTTAAAGCCCTTGACCTGAATTACAGCTCTTTTGGGAGGTCCCCTCCCCTACCCACCCCTGAGTTTTTAGTTGGTTTATATAAGCAAACCCTTGTCAATTTCAAGTTTTGACTCTCTCAGCAGAACCACAAACTGAGTCCACTCTAGAGTAGACTGCAAGTCAGTCATTCCTGTTGGGTGGTTTTACACACCACTTTTCTGACTAGTAAACCAAGCAGTCCCTGCAAGGTGAGTAAAATAGACCAATCA